AGAATAAAACTAGCAGCCATCAATTCATTATTTTATAAATTTCATTTATCACTTCGTCCCAATTTATTTTGAAATGCTAAATATTCTTTAGTTTGCAAATCATCGAATTCACAAATTATATTCAGAGTCACCTAAAATAAAAATCTAGATCCTCATAATTTAATCTCTGAACATTCAAGAGAGCGACCCAGCAAGTTGCCAATGATATATGCACTGCCAATTAATTATTAGTTTTTCCTCTGGCGAAAAAAAAGCGAAAGGTACCAGTAGCTGTCAACGAAAGAGAAATCGCATTGGTAATTTTTCACTTTTTTTTTTTTTTCACTCTATGTCGGGAACATAATTTTCTTCATGGCTGTCAAAACGAAAAGGTTGAACGACACTCGAGGAAGTTGGTAAGTGGCAGCTAGAATTGATTCAACTTAATTTATTCTTGAGTTTGGCTGTGTTGAATAGCCTCTCCTTTCGCTTCGTCGTTCGTTAAGCAACCGATAAGCAGAAGTTCCCAATTGGCCGGAAGCCTCCTTTCAACACCTTGCACGTTCCTTCAGAACCTTATTTATCCCTTTCACTGTCGGCCATTAACGCTCGATATTCGATATAACGAAAATACGAAAACCCTTCGCTCTTTTTACCCTCTATTTTACCACCACCATCTTATTATTTTGTCAACAATGTTGAGTGTTCGGTGGTTTGAAAGACATATTTTTAATGAGCCTTATCATTGAAGCAAATTAATTTATTTCTAAAAAGGAAGGACTATGACCTTTGAAACTCTGACTTCCCATTATCAATTGATTAATTCTTGTATTCAATACTCATATTCGTTTATTTCGCCCTGTTTATTTATTTGAAAATTCTTGAAATGAATCAGAGATTTTCATAAATCGCGCTGGATTCGATGTTTGATTGATTATTGAAATGCTTTTCATTCATAATCTCTGTAGATCAATATGGTATTTTGCACTATGAACAGATTTTTCACGCAGTACCATTTTTACGAAAAATTTTCTGTATTGAATGGTACTTTCACAGGCAAAAAATATATAAAATGACGTTTGTATTGCACATTTTTTTGTTTGCTTTTTTTTTCATATGCATGCTTTAAATGCACAGAATCCTTCAACTTCATGAAAATTACCAATGAATATTCTTGAAGGTCTGTGAAATGTTTAAACGAAAAGAAAGTTTGATTTTTTTTATTCTGTTGGAGTGTTCGTTCTTTTTAAGTACGGTCAAAATTCCCCGAAGCGTCGTGACGCCCCTTTTTCTTCTTTAACGCGTGTACGTTTGTAGTAACCGTAAAAAGGCGTCGATTCAGCGTCTGTCAATGACTATCGCACGTGATTCGAACTTGCAATGGGCTATTCAGCACGTGTGAGGAAATTATAGTTAAAAAGTTATCTTAGAATTTATCAATATGAGAATATATTCGAGAAATTAATTATTACAGTTTCCTTCGCAATTTCCTCCGTTTTATTCCCTTTTTTTACTTTCAATCATAATAAAAATTACTTAGACATTGAAAATGCTTATTTCTAATTTTTGCCAAATTAATATTATTCAAAATATTATATAATTCTGAAGAAATTTTGTTATAATTCTTCACACATTCAATTGTTGCATAATATTGTTTCAATTATATAAATACACATAGGTAAGTGATAAAAAAGATCAATCATATTTTAATCAAAGACCCCAATAATCATCAAAAACTAATGATATCCAATTAACAGCAAACACCATGTTATAATATAAAAATTACTTATCTAGAAAAATTTTTTCATCTCATCTCATTTGTTAAATGAGCGTATAGAGCACTTTTTCCACGAAGATTAGTGATCATCTCTTCCAATATATATCGTTAATTAATGTTCGTACCTACAAGTGTTTATTTTGCGACGTAATTTTACTGGACCTTAGGTCAATCGGTAGAAATCGATGGTCGAAGGAACTACACTGTTGTGTAAGTCCTGTTTTCTCCCAAGAAACCTACTCTTATTGGGTGGGCGTATACCTCCCTATGGAACTCCTCGAAACAACCGGGATCGCGAAACGGCAGTTTCACGCTCACAATAAAGCCTCGATGCTTGTTTCGAACGAGTTCCACGTCGCGCGAACTATTCGATGTAATCGCGACTTTGCGAACGTTATGCATCCTCGTGGATAACTTGAAACGCGGCTTCATGTACACGCTTGTAAATTGCCTGGAAACGTTGGGTGTGAAATTGTTAAAGAATCATCGAAATTTCCGAATGGTGTGTACGCATAAATTCGCGGTGGATTTTGTTAACTGTGAAAAGTGTTTAATATTTTTCATTTCGAGGGAATTTTAGAATCTTAGAATTTTGGGATTTTAGAATATTAAAATATTAGAATACTTATCACAATTTAGGAACCTTAGAATATGAGAACATTAGAATTTGAGAATTTAAAAATACTAGAATATTAAAATCCTAAGATTTCAGAGTTAAGAGATTTTAGAAATTTAATTAAAATCCATGACATTTCAAAGTTAATCAGAACAAATATTTATCAAATAGAACATATAGTCCATTAACTTGATGAAAATAATCTCTGAATCGTTGTATCAATATCAATAATTTCATTATGAAAGTCCAACATACATATAAAATTTGAAAATAATCCGATCAAATATTTTCATTACTGTACAAATGATGAACAGGTTAAACGATTTTATTACCATCGAACATTTCATCTGGAATGTTGATCGAAAACTCGGAACAATTGATTTCATACAAAGCAAATCAAAGCACGGTTTCTACGGATGCTTCTCTGCAAAGATTATCGCGTTTGCTCCAATTATTCATTAACTTTCATAGAAGATTTAACGGATAATGAAGCGTAGGAAAAGTTGAAGCGAAGTCACGATTCATTCGGGAGTGTACTTTAATTCAAAAGGTCACGATACGAGTTTCCCTATTGCACGCTTTTCAGAAGAAGTCGTCGGACTCGCTGCGAGACTCGAAGTAGTAAAGCGAGAAATTGAGAGATGCCAGTTGTCGTTTCCCTTCTTCTACTTATCACCATAATCGAGCAGAAGAGGGAATCCGAATTAGTCAGACCTTTTCTCATTGTCAGAGAGGATCCTTAATCGGTAGTTGGTTCATTCCATGAACCGTATAATGAATGTCCTTCCGTGATACTGGGAAAATGATCGATAGAGATACAATAGAAAGAGAATTTTGTTTATTGACAAAACTGTTTACTTGAGATTGTTTACTGACTGGTGATTATTTCGCAAAATTACAAAAATTTGATTGATTAATTCATACTTGATACGATTTATTTAGGTATTTGTAGGCAGAGGATTATTTTGGAATTCGATTTTCATATATAAAGCAATGAATGATCATCGACTCTCTAATTTCTTGGGCAATTAAACAATTTCATTGCGGAAACGAGTAGTATAACAGAGTGATTTTGGGATTTGGAAACTCTGTACGTCGAAAATTTGGAAATATCTACGCTTGATAAATAAACTCCTGTTCCTCTATTCTTTCTAATTAAAAATATAAATTAATTTCCCCCAGTGTCATTGGTTAAATATTTGAAATTATAGAGTAATAATTTTTGTAATTGCTGTCACACCCTTTCAAATAAAAGTACACTTATTGGACCACAAATTCCTTATTTTTTTGTTACAAAATAACAATAGTTATTTTTTCTTATACAAAAGAAATTGAGCACGTACTCATTTCATCGTATGGATTTTACATTATGCTGGTAAATAATATAGAAAACCATTTTTGCGCGAAATATATTCATTTGCAAAAAGGGACAATGCGAGCAATGGTTGAATGGTTATTTGTAATTAAACGCTGTTTCGCGCCGCGGAATCGTCATTGAATCTCTTCCAGTTCCTTTGTTGAAAACAGAATTTCGCATATTAAACAAACAGAATAACGCTGTTTAAAACTTATCAGATAATACGATAATGTACTTTTCAGTCTATTCGATTTGATTCCAATTAAACAGGAATAACAAATTATTAAGTTGTTTAATTAATCTCAATATTTCAAATGGTAGAGTGATTGAGAAAATTATTTTATTAGCGACAGGTAATCGTGTCTTCCTTGAAAAATAAATATTGATTTACATTTTTCGATCTCAAAACGAAGAAATGTTCCACGCGGTTGACCGCGTAAAGCTTTAACGAGTCCTGTTTTCTTTTTCATTTCGGTAAAGTTCGGGATTTCGCGGAAAAGTAATATTTCAACGGTGGGTAGGAAAGATCGTAAGGCCAATATCGGCGTGTATCGTCGGTGACAGCGTGCGTTTCAAAAGCGGATTAGTTCCGGTATTGTATTTACAGGTGGTCGTGAAGTGAACGGCTTAGTTGCAAAATTGCATCGCGATGCATCATAACTCGCGGTATTCGTCGGGCTTGGTCGGTTTTAAAATTCCCGTGGAAAGAACTTTCCTCGGTAATTGACGCTTTCAAAACCGGCTGCTGCTGCGTTGCCGAATGTACCAAGTAAAGAACAATTTTTTTTTTTTTTTTTTTCAATCTTTTCATTTCGCGTCATGTAAATGAAAAAAATTGGCACAGAATGAATTTGATTAATTATTGATCCTTTTGTTCCCCATTGAATTTCCATCCTGTTTTAGTTTAATTTTCAACCATGTAATTCATACTCTGCTACTAAAATTTGTTCTGTTTGTTAAAAGCAAATTTGAGAAGTTAATATAAACGGAAATTGATTTTTACCAGTAATATAATATTTTTAGTGAAATACTTGGGTTATTGCGGATAGTATTTGAAATTGTAAGTACAAATACAACAGAAATGAAATTTTTGTAAAATTTGAAATGAAATCTTTTTTATATGGAGCTTTGTGAAATATAATTATCGGTATTTATTAGATATACAGTAAAACCTCGTCACCCGTTTAAGTCGTCAAAATTTCTCGGTCCCTTGAGTGACGACTTATCGAGGTTTTACTGTATTAATTTCTGTAAAAGTTAAACACACTTACCGAAAATGTCGTTTGGGTAAATTAGAAGAGCTATCAACACCATTAGAAGTGCTTTTTGCCGATCCACCATTTTGTCACAGTCATCGATCCACCTAAAACAATAGAAAAAGTTAATTAAATCCATGAAAAAGTCAACACGGTATTTTGAATAATTAATTTTTTCCGGTATCGTTAGCGAAAAGAGCATTCAACTTTCTTTACGTATTCAAATTATAATTAAAGTTTCATTCTTCTTCTGTGATTCTTACAATTTTGTGAACATTCATTTTTTTTATATATATCAAAGAAATTTTTTAAATCGTATTAAAAATTAAGAAATTTAATACAAAAATGTAATCCTTTGAATCCTTACGAATGTTATTACACGTATCAGAATTTTCTTTCTGAATTTAAATAAAATTAGTAACGTATCATTAATTAACAAGGATTCGGTAATTTTAGAATTCCAACTATGATATCTCTGATCAAACGCGAAATACTGACGGGAAATCCGCAATCTGCTTCAATTTAATTCCAATTTGTTTCGGTGTTCTGTGAAATGCAGCGATAAGGGTTCGGTAAAAATGAATGGAAGAAAGAATAAAATAAAAAGTTTGGGGTAATAGTAATATGGTTCGATTGGATCGGATGGAGCCGAAAACCGAATCGAAGAAGCACCCACTGGAAAGGATTATTTTGTAAGGATATAGCGAAGGGCTATTACTCTTCATTAGTTTCTCGAGGGAACAGCGAAGAAGCTAAAGTCTTTAGCAGTCGATCAGTGTGATATTAATTATTAGATGTCATTGAGAAATTAATGATTTTTCCATCCTTCAAAATGCATTGCATTAAGATATCAATTTAAAAAATTTAGTAATTATACATATGGGGCGCTTCATCTAATTATTAATCATTTATTCTGTGAGAACATTTAAGTAATTAGACTTTAATGACTAATAATGAGTTTGTTGTCGGTTCATTTTAATTAAAATTTTTATTTCTAATTCATTTTGAAATTTCAAGAAGTGATCAAAAGTCATCAATTTTCCAATGCACGATAGATTAATTAAAAAACCATTTGTTACAAATGATAACGTAATTAGGTTTATAATATTCCTAATTCGTGATAATACCATTGAACGCGTGATCATACATTTATCGATTACACAAGGAATAGTAATATTGGGTTTGCATTTCGGCTAACAAGAAGCCGACACGCTGGCGTCTGCTGAACAGCCAGCTCTCAGCAAACAATGCCTCTGAAGCAATTACGTTTATACACGAAGGTTATTGTACATTGAATCGATTATTTTGCTGAGAATCCATCAATATGAAGGGATATTCTGAAAGATTTAATAATCGCTACACATTAAAATATTAATAGGTCTAATGAATTTTTATCGACAAGTTATCGAGACATAAATTAATACATTATATAAATATTAATATAATATAATAATTTAAGGATTATGAAATTAACATACAATTAATCTACCTGATAATACAGATTTTAATAGTTAATTTATCAAGTGACAAAATAATATACCATCGAGAATGTTGTACTGACGTGTTATTAGAGTTTCTGAGAGAATTCAGTAGTATAAGTCAATGATTAGTCAGACGCTTACATAAAATCAAGCTTCCTCAATACTCTGAACTTCTACAGCTATTTCTAAGTATCTAAAACACTTTATTACTCAATTGTTACCGTATAAAATTATATTTATTCCCTGGGTATAATATATTTCTAAAGAAGGTTCCTCCGCTAATTAATTTTTGCTCGAATAGATCGTTATCCAGTTACAACTTTTTCCTTATACGATCAAGTTAAAGATTAACCAATAGCGTCTGGTTTCGTAGAAACTTTAGTACATACAATGTCCCAGAAGCTGGGAGCAGGATGAATTTCCTTTCTAGACGACTGATTGTTCGCACGGTTTGATGAACGAGCGAACTTTATTTGAAAATTTCCTTAAATTAACGGATCGTCGAAACGCGTTTCAAGAGGTCAGCCTTGCTGGCCTGACGGTTCGTTCATTCCATATTCGACCCGAATGAAATTTCAAACAGTGTTTCTATTTTAAGAGATACTGAAATTTTCGCGAATTAAAGATCGACCGACGCTGCTCGTCGCGACGGATATTTGGACAGTGTTGAGTATACAATGCTGCTTCAATTACGTTCCTTAAACTTCTTAACACTTCGACCAAAGTATATTTTATAGAATTAATGGTACCTGTAATTTTCTATTTCTTCAAGAAAATACTTCAAATAAAAATGGAAAATTCTTAATGATTAGAATAATTATTTTTCAAATTTCAAACTTAAAATAAAATTTATTTTTCATCTTTATAAAATGATTTTTTTCTTTTATCGGTATTTGTAAATATTGGACAGGTTTGTTCGAACAAATTTTTCTTGGTTCTTGTTTCTTGGTACGAGTAATTTTACAGCTTGAAAATAGGTTTATAACAGTTAAGTTCTTTTGAAGTTTGTTTTCTTTAAATCTCTTTCAGAAGAAGTTACGGGATGGGGACTCTCTTAAAACTTTTTCCATCTTTACAAAGCTATCGGTTATTCTGGTGGACCGTAGCAATAAACTCGGAAGTGAAACAATGTACGGAAGGATACTTTGTACATAAGTTGTATTAAACATTAATTTAATGAGATTGAAACATTTCATTATTAAATCACTGCTTTGAAATTTTATTGAAAAACTTTGGAATATTATTCCAACAGAATACTAATAAGATTATGAAAAAGTTTGAATCATTGTTGCTTTATTTTATTTGCTGGTTATATTTATCATTCAGTCTATGATTCAAATTACTTCTAATGATTAATTAATTAATTCCTTAAATAAACACTAGTTTCATTCTAGTACAACGCTTGCGATTTAATATTAATTTAAGAATCCCAAAACTGTAGTTGTTTATCTTGGTCGGTGCAATTTATTGTACACTTGGTGCGCTTTATTATTTCGCTTCAGTATATTTAGTGGGCTGAATTAAAAATGATTAAGTACACCCCTGGTATGGGCTGTTCTAAAGTGTCCTTAAACCACGACACCCTAAATTATGTCATACACAACAACCCTTGAAGCGGCATAAGCAGATCGCTGGAATATTTCACAATTTCTGTATCGAAACCACAGTATCGAATATATCAGGCAGAATTTTCGTTTTTCTGAAAATATATCACTTATAATTCACACGTGTAAAAATAAAATTACAGAATTATGGTGTACCTTGTAAAAAATAAGCATTTTTACAAAATTAAATTCTCTTCGTCGCGTTTGCACTGTAAACACGATTTCATAAAAATTCTTTTCTCTTTTTCCTCGATTTTTTATGGAAAACTTATCTGACGGTCAAATATTGATCATCGAATTCCTAATTTCAAATATTAAATCACAGAGGATCTAAGATTCACGTGAGGAGAAAAAACTGCTTGAAGAGATATTTCGAATTCTATATTTTATGAAAGACGTTATTAATTTTTCAACGATGTGCCGGTTGAAAATTTTAAAATAAATTGCTCTACTGGAAATTAGATAAAGTTCTTTCCGTGTTCCTCCATTAATACATTCTTATGATTCATGCAGTGAAGGAAAATACTAATGAGCGAGTTTAAAATTTCGCGATAATTGAGCAGTTATATATTTTTTTAAATAATCGTTCTTCAAATTCAGTTTTTCGATTTTTTTTTTTTGTTTTTTTTCTCGTGAAATCTCGAATTTCACGTTGTCGATATTTTTCATTAGAGTAACGAATCATAATGCTGGTCCAGACTTTTGAAGAGTATTATAATATGTCGAAACGAATAAAATGGAAAGGAAAGAGAAAAGCCTTCTGTCAGTTCTATTGGAGTGACGTTAATTGGTATCGGATGGTCCTTGCATTATTTGAAAATTAATACCACATTGTGACTGAGAAGTAGTTCCTGAGAAAAAGAGAGGTAAAATCGTTTAATCGATTGGAATAATTGAAATGAGTGCTTTCAATCGTAGCTGTTTGATACATCGTTCTCGTTTGCATATAAATTTCATTGTTTCGTTTGTCGCTAATAATCAGATTAAATATTGAATTCAGAAAATTAACAGCTTTTTTTTAAATAGAGCTTTGATTTTTTAAAGTCTTTTTAAATATTGCAGTGTGTTGTTAAATGAATTAATTGTATTCTGTAATAGGAATGTGAAGGAATAAAATAGAATAATTTATGCTATGATAAATTTTATATTTATTTACACTTGATGGAACACAGAAAATTATAAAATTGGTATTTTATCTTTTGCTACTTTTATACATAGTCAAATACATATAATTAATTTAGCTTAATTTAATTTAATTTCTAAATAATTAAAAATAAAAATATTTCTGCAATTACAAGTGTCATTAAATGATGCAATTAACGTTGGAAAGGAAAAATCTATTATTTATTTAAAAATTGAAAATAATAAATAGAAAAATGTTAAGTGCTTCAATATAGATTATTGATCGTCTAAGAAACCTCGTTTCTTATTAGTAGACATCATTCTGCACGAGTCGCTTGAATATTCAACACCGTGTAACGCCTAGTGGTAACCCAATTACTTGACAAAAAGTTTAGTGACCCATGTGTAATGAGATTAATCGCGATCTAACCATACTTCCGCTGAACAAACAAGTCGACTTCACTGGAGATTGACCCAGCGAACAAAAAGAGGTTAATTAATTACTTTTAGCATGCTTACCGGCTATGTAATGGAAGTTCCTTTCCCTCCAGTTTTACAGTTAGTTTACCGAATGATGCTGCTGATTATTGCTCTCGTGCTCCCTTTTTTACTTCGTCGAACTTGGATTGAATGAGAAAGTTCAGCAGAATTGGTTGATTGTTAAAACATCGATCGTTTTACTTTATTGCTGAAGAATCGAACAAGGAAAGCAGAATATCAAAGAATTTTAAAACAATTAATTAACTCATTTATACCGCCTTAGAAAGCTTCTGATAAAGACTGTTTTAATTATTCTGTCGATCAATATGTGAGACTCAAATTATTTCAATTTCTCTTCATCTAGATTTTTGATTAATTATTTATAAAGAATTCTACGAGGTTTCATGGATGAATATTGAA